GGAGTACATCTAGGTAGTACTCACCGCCCCCTGAATCTACATTGAAGACAAAACTTGACACAACCGGCCATGGCTAAAGAGAAATCCTTTTGGAAAATTCATGGAGACATGTCGCGATCTCCAGCGGCGCGTCTCAATTCATGTCATGCGATAAAAACTCATATGCACCTTGTTTTGCAGGAGAGGTGTGTAGGTGTGTTTACTGGTATGGGCGTGCCAATTGCAATTTTGTCAATAACTACTATTTTGTCCCCTGTACTTGGTTTGACGCTTCGTGAATGTCCACACTGAGGATGATCATGTGGTTGTGCAGCCATATTACACCCCTGTCCAAAGACGCACTGACCAGCCACTGCCCACCAGTCCTGCGGCGGGAACCGTGTTGCGTTGTTTTCGACACAGGGCCCACAGCCCTGTAAGTTTTCTTTCTCAGTGCCTTGTGAGGAAAGGCTCCACATTTCAAGACATTGAAACAAGCATCAGATGTGATGAAATGAGCTGACATAAGCTGTTGCCATACGTTTAACTGGAAAAAGCTGCCCCAAACAATACAGTTCGTCTGTTTAGTACATATACACCGCAATACGTTCTTTGTTTGTTTGCGTTATCGTGCATTGCACAACGCAAATTGAGAGCCAATTGACGGTCCGTTATATCTGGAAATCGTGCTCATGGACGCCAGATAGGAACGATTCGACAATTTTTTTTTTCTTGGCCTTATCATCACATCGCCAACGGATAGCAGAATTTTAGTGACGTTAATCCCAGTGTCATGGATGCTTGGGTAACTATAAAACGGTCTCCCCGAAAAGTCTACACATCTTCGCGGGCGTGTAGCTCAGAAACTAGAAGGGCTTAGGCATTAAAGAGTAGGGCTGTGAACTATACCGAATGACCTTCAAAGTGAATACGTCGGTTTTCAAAAACCCATGCAAATGCGGAACACCTCCTTCAAATGTGTAGAATATGCTTGTGAATTTTGAGGTTTCTGATGCCCGACAAGCCATTTTTGACACGCGTCCGATCGTTGCCCGTTCTGTCCACGAACGAATGTGATTTATTGAAGTTGTTAACGACTGTGCTGCTGTAGGCCACCACGGACGGCTTTGAACTATTTCAAACGACGCTAGATGTAATTCATTTAAACTACTGCAAACTCACAAATGCACTCACGGACGCGCTTACATTCAAGAGCATGTGCTTATCTTCTTGACATCATTATCGTCGCTCTAAAACATATCCTTCTATATCCTCATCGTCGCTCTGAAATGCCACGGCCGTGAAACGAGTCGGTCGGCTTATGGGGTACACGAAAGAGGTTGGCCCCGGCAAAGAACGCGATTTAAAAGTAAATGTCAGTGCTCAATGCTTTTAGATTCAGGTAAGTGAAAAGGCGCAAGAAAATAGAACAAACTGGGATCAGATTTTCATGGCACATGGCACATACCGTATTTTCCTAGAATACTGCCCCGGGGTATCTGCAGCTTTTACCCATTGTTTCATTGTTGGCATTGTTCCATTCATTGCTCCTTGTAACCACTTATGCCTTCTTCAGTGCCGCGAATACAGCACCAGGAATGTTTGAGCGGCCCCTGCATGGCCCAGACATGCGGACATGGGGACTGAACAAGTGGCCAACAGCTCAGCGGGAACGGAACGCTACTGCGCGAGCCCTGATTTGTCGTGGATCTTTGGAGCGCTGCGCACCTGCGCTTAAGCTGCTGAACGCAGCCAGACGCCAATAACTGACAGCTGTAGCTTAGGCTCGGGGTAAGACACACTGACATTCTATTAACGCACGTTGGAGAGGCTCTGTGGTGCATCTGCCATGTCCTTAAATGCATGTTCTGCAATTGTTAAGAAATCCTCGTGCTGTGTTGGTTTTGAAATTGGCTGCAACAAATGCACGCTTGTTTCATGTCAGAACTCTCGCTCTCCATGCCCCGTGGCCGCACCGTCGTGCCTTTGGCTCGACCACATCTCTCTCTCTAAAAGACATCAGTTTGCCTCCGCCGAGACGTTGGGCGGAGACAAACTGATGTCTTTTTTTCCAAACCGTGCCAAATCTCTCCCAACGCATGTTACGATATATGATTTATATTCATTTAAAGGGATGGACATATTTCAGATGTCATGTGCTATTGTTGGTTATATCTAAACGCTCCATCTCCGTTCAGCAGCTTTATGGTGAAGACGGTCCCGCTCGGGTCTCTGTGTCGTCTTTATTTGGTGGAAAGGGCAGGCTTCAGCGACAATAAGCTCGTCACAACGAAAAATTTCAGCCTGTTTCGCAAACGCCGTTCCCAGCGCTGAGACATCCAACAAGCAAACTTCGTGTCAGAAGCGGAGATTGGTGGAAGCCGGGAGTCTATGCCGTCGGGTGATTTACTCGCCCGGCGGCGTTTCGCAGCAGCGCGGCACGGAAGCGCCGCCGTCGTCTCATCCGACAGCCCCAGGTGCAGACGACAGACAACAAAACTCGTCGGCCGCCCGCGCTACGCAGATTAAATTCGCCGCGAACTGAGCGCGCCGCGCCCCTGGAGCCAACCTGGGATCATGTGGGGGCAAGTGAACTGGGCGGAGCGGACTGGGACGCTAGAGCGGGATGGGACGCTCGGGCCCCTGTGGAGGCAGGTGAGGGGCACGGAGTCACTGGGAGGCAGTGAGCTGGCACGGAGTGGACTGGGACCGCCCGGGCCATCGTGGGAGGCAAGCGTAAGCTGAGAACGCGGACCCGGAGTGGACTGGGACGCCCTAGGGCCACGTTGGGATGCAGGTGAGCGGGCACGTAGCCAAGTTGGAGGCAGGTGAGATGGGAAAGGAGGGGACGGGAGCCCGGGGTCACGTGGAGGCAGGTGAGCGGGGCATCCGTAGCGGTATGGGAAGCCCGGGCATGCGCCTGAAGAACGCCGGCTAACGAGGCAGAAGTACACCACCGGGTCCGATTTCGGACACCGGACAAGCCGTGTCTTCATTGGCCAGGAACGGTGGCAGATGCAGCAAGGAGAGTCCCATTGGCCCTAGGTAGCAGCTATTTGTACCATTCCATTAATAAGGCCTGCATATTGCGCAATGTCGACCTAAGCGACGAAGAAAAAAAAGGCGACGCGGGGCGTGAAGCAATGGCAAGTTTTTTCTCAAGAAGTCGACAATAGGCTATCTCGTCAGCAATGGGAGCAGAATTATGCCCCGCCACTGTGCCGTGCCCGGGTTTTTTCTACGCTACGTTATCGTTACGTTAGCGTTATGTGATCCGACCTCTTCTTGATTAGTCATAGCCGCGGTGGCTCATGAAAAGCTTTATTCAGAGGAGGCGTACCGGCCTGTCGAAACATTGTCAGCACCATATTGCGCTGTGAAGCCCTGATGAGACGCGTGCGACACTTAATATGGTCGTGGCAGACTTTTTGGACGACCCTCGGATATTTCCTTAGGCATACGCCGCTGTCGTACCTAGCTGAGCGTTCTCGGCACCGCAAGACATCAGCCCTGAGCACGGCAAGTCCCACGGACGTCATGCTCAAGCGGAATCAGAACCTGCAGCCACCGCAGCCGAGGACATGTAGTCAGTACAAGCCCGTGTATCCCTATGACGCCTTAGGATTGCACCTGGAAGTGGCACTTACACGGCAGACCACAACGTTGACCGCTGGAATTTGCGGGTCCTCACGCCTCTTCGTCGCGTGAACAACACTTCTTCAAGCTGTTTCCCTCGTTGTGCTCTATCTTTCTGTTACCCTCCACCGATCTAATGAGCTTTCTTGTTGGTATTTATGTGCGATGATGCGACACTTATCGGTACCGTCGACACTGCCTACGAGCGCCACGACGCATGCTGCATCGAAATGGCATCGCGGGCATCGGTCCAGAATCCCAAAACGACGACCCAAGTGACGAAGAGAAAATAGAAGGATCTACGACTTAATTTGGGTTCTCCTGGGTGCGTCATCTTGCATGACTCGTTGGTCGTGGCTTTCTAGCCAAATATCCGACAAAATACTTATTTCGTTGATTACCAACACGCAATCGGATGCCTTTCACCACCAGTTCAGCGCACCCGCGGCCATACCAACCGATGAATGCTGCAATGTGTTAATAATGAAACGCATTTCCAACTTTCTAAGACAGCATGCTCCATGAGGTTACGCCCCCAGCACCATCTATATGACGATATAACTCATGCGTCACATCACTCGTGCCACGCTGAAGATGAGCCACTTGTTACAAGCCCAAAATCCCCTCGCGCGCATGAATCCTCAAACGACAGTTTTAGTCAGCGCATCCGTCTGTCACAGCCAGGACATTTGTTCAGCTAACCCAAGAACGTCGGGATCAGATGGAATCTGCCGCGGCAGACAAAATGCCCAATTTGAGCTGAGGAAGGCCGCCCCATCGTTAACATTCCTAAGCCCGTGGCCCCACTTGCGCCATCTGTGAGCTGTCTTAGAAAGTTCTAGCTTGCCAATCTGCTACTACGTGGCCGGTCGCCACCAAAGCGCCATGGCATCGACCGCGCCAGCTTCGCGCAGGACGGTTTGGCAGCGACAGTTTAGAAGGGCATCTTTACGGTACGAGAGCTTGCGTGCTCTATATTTCCGCACAACAACTACGTCACACGATCAACCGTCTGTCAATGTTTCGCGATTCTGTGGATGACGAGCCTCCAAAGCACTTTGTAAGCCGCGTGATCCACGGCACTTCGCTTGACCCCGCACTGATCACACCCCACTCTCTCCAGTGGCAGAGCCTCAGATTCGTCACCAACATCCACTGCTATCGGTATCACAACCCCGCCGCCCTACCGCGCCTAGCGCCCCACTACACGCCGCGACCGCAGGCCGCCGCTAGCCGTCGCCAGCGCGGCGGCGGGCCGCCTCGGGCTGCTCCCGGCGGCTCATCAGCCGGGCCATGTCTTCCTCGGCGTCCCGGCAGCGGCTCCGGCGCATGGTGGGCAGTCACCACACCCACGGTACCGATCACGGCCAGGCCCACGGCGGCCTGCCTTCAGCACGCCAGACAGCAGCGTCATCTGCGAGAGGAGCAGACAGTCGTCAGCGCGCGCGCTGCGGCTCTGCGAGAATATTTCAGATGGCCTGTGTGCGGCAGATCAGTCCTGCTTTCCTCCCGTTGATATTAGTTCGGAAAAAACAGTTGAAGAAAGCCGCCGTTTGTAGCGAACTGCATCTCATCCTGACTCGGCTAAAATGCATCCCCCACCCATTGGGACAGTCATTGGATCGGCGATCCCGTCACGCCCGGTAGTTCATTACTGACACTGCAAGCAGTTCACAAACGCAACGTCCTCAACGTGAACTAAAGGCAGCATCGCGCTGTCTTCCTCAAGACCGTCCGGCTGGGCCGGCTGCGAGCCCGCCTCACCGTGTGGGCGGCGGCGGCGGCGGCGGCGGCTGCTGCTGCGGGGGCGGTGCCTCGGGTTCCCGGCGCTGCACGAAGCCCGGCCGCCAGATGTAGAAGCCGCCGAGCGTGCCGAGCACAGTCACCAGCGCCACTTGGAACGCTGTGAGGCCGGCCGGGCGTCTGATGAGCACTGCAACGCCAGGCGGCTGCTGCCGGTCACGGGCCCGACCGATGGCGTCACTTACACGGCAGCGAGCTGGCCGACGCGCCACAGCGGCGTCACAGCGGCTCCGGGCGACCCGGTCACGGACACGAGACCGCCGCTGCTCGGCCGCGCGGCGGTGTCTGCTGCACTGCTCGCAGGGAGGTGACCACTGTCCTGGTCACGGGGGCCACGCCACACGTCCGGTCACACGCGGGCGAAGAAGACCGCTCCGCGTGGTATCCACGACGCCAGAGGAGGCAGGGAGAGCCTGGGAGATCTGGCCTCCAGCCCCAGTCCGTCAGAACCAGGAGCCAGGCGGGGGCACAAGCCAGGGCCGGGCGCGAGGCGGGAATGGTCCAGGCAGTATTGTGCTGAGTTAACGGCGTCTAGCCCACGAGGCCCCGGTGCGGGCGCGTTAGCGTAGCTACCTAAGAAAAAACCACGCGATGCGACTAAGCGTGGGTCCAGAGATAACGATCGCGACTGGAAGCTTCCACTTGAGATACGTCCGAGCGTAAAAACGCGCAATCACAGCGAGGAGCGTCCCAGGAACTCCGTGCCCTTCGACATCGCTGCGGGCGAATCAAGGCCGCGGCGCCGCTGGGAGATTAAAGCGCCATACGTAACACGTCATACGGCTACAAAGGCCACGATCAGACGGCCCCTACCGGCCCCTGCCGCTAGCGTCACGCTATCACAGCTCGTCTACAGTATTTCCAGGTCAATGTGCCTGATTTGCGGGAATGCCTTCCTCAGGTCGGACTCAATCCTGTCTATCTCGGCGCCCATCATGTCGACAATGGCCTCGCCGTGGCGCAGCAGGAACTTCTCCACCGCCTCGTCGCCCGTCAGCTGCTTGGCCTCCGCTGTCAACACGTCCGAGTCCTGTCGCTCCAGGTACTTCTTTGTCAGCTCCCGGCCGTCAAAGTCCACCTCGGCCTTGTAGCGCACCAGCCCGTTGCCCATGTCGATGCCCTTGACGTCGTGGATGCCCCTGATCATGATGTCCTCCTCGAGGCGCAGGTTGATGCGCTCCAGCTCCTCCTGGCGGATCGACTGGCCCACCAGCGCGTGCGAATTTGTCACGATAATGAACGTGGCGACGGTGCCGAGCAGGCCGCCAATCAGCATCGATCCGCACGCGTCGAACATCATGTTGCCGGTGACAGCACTCAGCGCCATGCTGGAGCCGGCCACGAACACGCCCACCACGGCCGCCAGGTCCTCCAGCAGCACCACGTTGACGGAGGGGTCGCGGCCCTGGCGCACGTACTGCCAGAACGAGCAACCCTGGCGGCGCGAGTTGCGCAAAATGTTGCGCGTCGCCAGCGTCAGCGTCACGCTTTCGGACACGAGCGCCGCCGCCAGCACGCAGTACCCGACCAGGAAGTCGCCCATCGGCGCCGGGTCGTACAGCGCGTGAAAGCCGTGGAAGAAGGCCACGCCGCTGCCCAGGCAGAAGATGCCGACGCCCGAGATGAGCGAGGCCACGTGGCGCACGTTGCTGTAGCCGTACGGATGGTCGAGGTTGGCGCGCTGCGCCGACTTGTGGATGCCCACGGCCAGGATGACCTGGTTGGCAGTGTCGGCGATCGAGTGCAGCGTCTCCGAGAACAGGCTGCTCGAGCCAGTCACCGCGAACGCCGCGCCCTTGCCCAGCGCGTTGATGGCGTTGATGCCGACGGCGGTGAGCACGACGTTCGACGAGCCCTTCAGGTTCTCCTCCTCGATCACCGTGTAGTAGGGCTTGTTGCGCTGGCCGCGCCGGTAGTCCTTGAGCACCTTCTTGACCGAGAAGAGCGTCTGCTGGTGCGTGCGCCAGGCGAGTTCGCGGCGTTGTTTCTCCTCGCTCAGCCGGTCCAGACTGCCCCACTTGCGGATGGCCTGCTGTTCTACCTCGGCGCGCCAGTACACGCGGATCGGCGGCTCGTTCTCGAACGGCGAGCGTCGCTTGGTGCTGCCCAGCGGCTCCAGGTCGCCCACCTTCAGCAGGTACTCCTCCATCGCGCGCACGGCCGTGATGAAGTTGCGGTCGGTGGCGCGCCGCTCCTTGGCAGTGGAGGCCGGCACCGAGCGCAGCTGGGTGCGCGCCTGCTCGGCGGCGTCGCTCGACCGTCCCTCCTTCCGCGCGGGCAGCGCCAGCGCCGGCGCCTCGTCCCGGCCCGGCTGGTTGGCGGCCGACGGCGGCGGCGGCGTCTGACGGGAGCCGTCGTCGCTGAAGGAGGCGCGCAGGCAGACGGCCAGCGACGCCGGCCGGCGGCGCAGCAGCGGCACGCAGCCGCGCGCGCACAGAAAGCGCGAGGCGGCCGCCGCCAGGGGCATCTGGCGACAGAGGACAGACGGCGTCAGCCGCCGCCAGCGCCGCCGGCCGCGCCGCCCGGGCCCGCCACATTTGACGCCCCGCACACGCAGGCAGAATATCGAGCCGACGAAGGTGTGTGACCAGGTGAGGCATGCTCGCTGGACGCGGAGTGATTTTACCTTGCGAGTGGCCCATTCTACGACAGACCATTCGACAGGTCGTCATAATTTATATTTCAGATGCTGGTGAACGTGCTGCAACTTGAAGTGTTCAAAAACTTAAACCGCGTTCAACTGTACAGTTTTGAAAGAGGTCGGAGCCGTGGCCAAGTTCATGGCTTCGGGAATTTTTGCGAGGTCACCAAGCAAGGCTGAGGCCTGTAACTTAATGAAGAACAAGCAAAACAAACGGCACGAAAACTATGCATCACGAAACCCACACTGACACACTACTCCCTTTCGTCAGTTCAAGGTTTTCCCTCACGGGCATTTTCTAGACGTGGCCATGAGACTTTGTCACATGAAAATGACTGGATGGCTTTTCTTCTAATACGCCTAATTTTCATCTTAAGTTCGGCATTTGCGCGATGAATTTCGCCGTGACTTGACGACAGGATGAAAATAAAATATTATGGAAGTATCATGTTGGTCATGCATTGGGTCCTGCAACATGTGCAAGCCTACAGATAGTCCCAGAACCATGGAAAAGTTGCGTGGAACAATGTCTGGAACGACCACATGCCCATATGAAAGTTAATCAAGCCAGAAACGGGCGCGTTTCTGGAGTTGCAGTCTCTACAGGCTCTTGCTGTTGTTGTTCATTGGTGTTTTCGGGCGCGTCGACGGCAATGGCCATTTTGCGCCCAGTCTCTGCAGGCTCCCCATTTGTGTTACATACGCAGTCTTCCATTGCACCATATGTCTGGCGAACCAGCAAAACCTCTGGCCATTGGGGCTTTACGACGCCTCAGCTGCTGACACCATATGACGTCGCCTGCCTGTCAGCCTGGCAGGAACGGAGGGCACCGCGGGGAATCGAACTCCGTGCATCCGGTTTCCAAGGCGCGTAATGGTTAACGCAGACGCGTCAACCACTTCACTACCGGCACCCGACGATGAAAACCTCAAAGGTCGTAGTGTAAAGAGTTCATATCATCCAAAATCACGTCATCCAGCGTTCAGAACATCAAGGATGCCTCCAACTCCGTGCCCATGGACGAAGTTCATGACATACAAGCCCGCACCCTCTAGTCATGGAATCCAATGTTCATGGCCTGCAGCAGTCATAGTAGCTGAGATTCCTGCCACTAGATGTCACTGCAATACAATCTATTTCCGACTCCGGTGGCTAGATGGCGCAATGCCATATTTTCGTCGTCTACCAACAGATGCCTTAGTCAATCTGTCATCCAGCCCTTGATCACTTGATAGGTACAGTGAATGACAGCTGCAGTGACGAATCACCTAGGTGTCTGGGCTGGCGGTCCTTCATTCGGTCTCAGTATGGCTTCCGCATCATGAAAGCGTGTGCCCAACTGGCATCAATTTATTCATATTGCAGCATCACGCCTAAGACGCACCACGTGAGGATATTGCCTCGATAAACTCTACCGCTGTCGCTTCGATAGCGGAACCGAAACTGGAGCGACTCGCCGGCGGAACTACTGGTTCAAAAACAACCCTACACCAATCGTTGGTCTGGATACAATCATTCCACTCTGTGAACCAATGCTGTGTATTTGTACATGTATGTGGTATGTAATTGAACAATCAGAGGTACACCTATTTAATCCGACTTTAAACCATGCAATATGGTTACTACCGATGCGTTCAAGTGACGATCAATCCTTTCAGAAACTTTGAATCCGCACGTGATTTACGTATCCGTTCTCTCGCTTTTGTGGGATCTGAGATGTGGCTGACCGTTCTGATCGTACTAACTCAGTTGCAGTTGACACTGCAAGTTTTCCCGCAGGCGGGAGAGGCAATGTGAATGCTACGGCGTACCGGCTGCGGCGAAGGCTGTGGTCTTGGAACCGACTGAAACGCGCACAGCTCTTACGAACTGAAAAGGACAATCGTAAGGTAAAGAAGCGATAGGCCATGTAATAATCGTCGCCAGGGACGCTTAGGCGGGCCAGGGCGCCCGTAACGTACCGTCAGGTCATAACATCCATCAACTCGCAAGAACACTTACAATAACACTCCACTGTTATTGCCACAGCTGCAAAGCAAGTGTGTTTGTTCCGTTTATCCGGCTCACGACGTGGTGCATTTGAACGCCGAATCGCCATAACAAATGTCCCTCATCCGGTCCTCCGCGCGCCCTCATTTCACATCGTATTGCATTACCGAAACACAGACATCACACATCATAAACATTAAATTGCTCCACAGCTGCGTCGACATAAGCTCTTAGAAATATTTCAGCCTATTTCACTAAGCAGTGGTCCTTGAAGAAGGTCCCATGATCACGGAACCAACGGGCGGATTTCTCACACATAAGTGTTTTTCAGTCATCAGTTCCATCAATAACATGATTCGTGAAACATCGCCAACTCAATAACGAAAATAGGGTAGCCAAACACCGCGGAGGATTTTTGTACAGCCCGCAAAAAAACAGCAGGTAACCCGAACAAAGCCTTTCACAACTACTGCATAGCTACTGCCGAGTGCTACCAAAGCACTTATGCCTGCTACCAGATGTGCTGACATGGTGAAGTTTGCCAGCATAATAAAGTGCTACCCATGTCCATGCATAGTGATTTAATTGGACAGCACATATCGCAGGACATCACTTGTTGGCATGGCAGAGTAAATTTGGCAATGATATCCCATTCTCCAAAACATCTTAACCGACAGTTTAGGATTTACTAAGAAGTAGCACTGCTGTCCATCTTTTGTATGGCATGAACATTGGATGTTTATGACCTTAGGATGCTGCAATTTGAGACATTGTGAGCTTGGATGCTGTATATCTCCTCTGTCAACTATCACTACCAGCTAGCAGCAGCTTTTCACACATTTTTACTGGGGATAGCCAGACATTAACAGTGGGGGATACAACTAAACCCCTGTTGCTTCTCTCTAAGCAGATCATGTGGATCTTCATATTTTGGTACTTATTTGCTCACAATGTGACCTTGTCCTCTCTCGTTCCTGCTCTTATAAGATCTCACATGGATAGAGATATCTGGGCCTCGGAGATCAGCAATACCGAACTCGTCTGATACCTCGCTTCAGTACTCGCTCCGCTACACTCTCCCCCTCCCTCTCCCTCATCCCCCTCTCCCTCCCTCCCCTCCCTCCTCTCTCCCTCTCTCCTACTCCCTCTCCCTCTCTGCCTTAGCTCCTATAGCACACAAGTCTGACCAGCCATGCCCTGGCTTCCCTAAGACGGATGGCTATGAGCAGACAGGCTGGAGCAGGCTGCCAAGGTATGTGATCGATCTCACCCTCCACGTCTTCATCCACAGCTAGACCATCTTTTCATCACTCACTTCTCCAGATATATGTGGGAATAAATCCAAGGTCAATCTCCCTGTCTACACCAGGGAAATCTTTACACTCAAAATCTTTGGCATATAAATTATGCATGTTTGGCTTTCACAAAATCAACATCTGGACTCTTGCTCCAGATAGTATGAAATACTACTTGATCAAAATACCAGGATGTGGTTAACATAGCTGGTGGAAAAGGTTGCTACATCTAATTAACTACAATTGAATAACGAACTTATGGATCAACCCTACCTCAGTTTATAGGATGCAACAGTCCCAACTGTCATGGTACTTCTGGCTGGTTGATAATTTCATGACACTGTTTGGGCCATAGAATAGGTAGAAATATTATTCACTATAAAATAAAGGTTTACTTGATATACTTCATTTGCCTGCAAAGTTGACTCAGCACAAATGCTAAAATAATAAATACAAACAAACAAGACAACACATGCCTGCATCAGTTGCATGTAAAAAGATCACAACTTCACCTGAAACAGTGCTGCAATGCAAATATGAAAACACAGCAGCATTTATACTGCTGAATGAGAACTTAGGGCAAAGCAGCTTTGGCACACAAGTCTGGAAAACACTATCAGTAGTGCTGATTGTGCTAAACAAAAATGAACCCCGCTAACTCTGCTATTGCTCACCTATTGGGAGGCTTCTGTGTTTTTCAATGAGGCTAAATTTTGACATGTATTACCGACAGTTGCACATGATCATTACTGCTAGTGCACCTTCTTAATACTTGCACAACTATAATGTCAATGTCTGGACTGAGACTGAACCAACACAAAATTAAGCACTCTCAAGTACTTATAAAAGTGTATTTACAAATTAACTTGTGTTGGAGTGAACATTTTGCACCTGACCAAGCAGCACTGACGAGTGCAATGCCTCTTGAAATAGAACAGAACCAACCAACAGTGAGAGATTTGACACTGGCCGAGCAATATTTGGCAGTTAACCATCAACACACAGGCAACGACGGCCTCTTAGCCAAGACGACAAACCCACCTGACAGGTGGACTGGCAAAGGACATTGAACAGATGGCGATACGACTGGTCACAACAAAAATGACCCCCCAAAACTGCACTCACTGTGTTTGGTAGTATTCGTATCCGTTTCGTACTCAACTTTAGTTCGATTTTCCGCAAACGCGGCTCAGAGAAAACCACAAAGTGATGACGCGCATGACGCGCGATCGCCACAAAGGCCGCCAAAGATATCGGCTGTCAGCTGGCTGTTGCCGGTTACTGATTCGGGCACTAATTCACCGCCAGCTCCTTGACCAACCAGAAAACGCCGGAAAAAATGCATATATCTGGTACTGGAACCCATCCAATAACAAAACAACTAGGGCAATGCAAAGTATTTATCTACAACTTAAACCCCAAAAGTTAGAAAACAGACTATATGTTCTTCAGACTGTATGAACTATGCGCTCTCCGAACGCCGCGATGATCAGAATCCCGTTTTGTTTCGACCACGCTTGAAAATCCCTAACAGGTGTGCGAATTGCCTGGACAGACAAGAGTAAATGATCCAAAATTATGATCTAGGTGCGCAACCAAGAATTGTTATGGGTGTCTCGCGGCTCATTCATGGTCCCCTTATAAGCAGCTTCTGGTCATAAGAGCCATGGTCCATACCTCCTTGGCTAGAGGAGATATATTTCTTAGATACACATACGCAACGTCGTAACATAAGCCTGCAACAGTTCCTGTCGGTGGGTGTGCTTCTTGTCACAGCACACACTCGTGGACTGCCAACATGCTTCTATTATCTAGCCGGGAAGGAACGCCAACAAGATTACATGGAAAACGGAGTTAAGAGTAACAACACGTTCTATCACAGGTGATGTCACGAGTGACAGATCACAAACCCCGACACCATCGCCTCTCCTTAAGTTGCAGTCCTTCAGGCAGGCGGGGAGTCTGGTCACCCGGCCGGATCGAGTGGTGATCGGCATGGCGTCGGCAATGACGACCATCCGTCGGCTGCATCGGCTCATGGAGGCTGTTGTTGGTGCAGCAAACTGAGTTTGGCTGAGATGGCAGCCCGACTCTGGTGCTGGTGTGATGACCTCACGAGGTCTAAACGCTCTGCTAACTTCCTGAGGACCACGCCCCGTGATCTGTTAAAACAGTGACTACGTCGCTTTGCACTCAGCGGCGTAGTGGCTTGGCGGCTCTGCTATAGCCGTGTGCCTGCCTCTCCTTCGTCTGGCGTAAAGCCGCCGAAGCCTCTTGGTGCGACGGAGCTGAAGAGGTCAGCAACTGGAGAGCAGCTGGCAGCAGTGTCCGCTTTTGTCTTCCAAACATCAGCTGCGCCGGAGACGCTGTCTGCCTTCGAACGGCATGCTGCGCGCCACTCCCGGAGCACGATATTCGCATCGGTGTTCGTCTTGCGCGCTTTCTGCATCAGGTGTTTGGTTGTCTTGACAGCATTTTCCGCCTTGCCGTTGGCTTGTAGGTACCTTGGGGAACGTCGGATGTCTTTTAAAGTGCAGGTCTCTTGCAAAACCGTTGAATTTCGTGCGCTCCGAACGGGTTGTTGTCTGAGATTACAACTTCCGGGATTTAGTATCTCGTAAAGTGTTGTTTGAAGACGGCAAATGACGTCTCCCTCAGTCTTTCCAGCGAGCTCGTCTACCTCGAAATAGCTCGAGAGGTAGTCCACCGCGCGCAGATAATCTTGGCCACAGAACGTGATGATGCCGCAGCTACGATTTCCTATGGTCTTCTCGGCAGTTCGGGCTACGCCAACGGCTCTTTCTGCTACTTGGTTGAATGAGACGTGCATATGGCGCATTTAGAGAGCTCTGGATTATGTTTCTATGTCAGGCCAGTAGGCGACGGCCCCTTGCTCGACGCAACAGAGTGCCGCGTCCCATGAGGGTGAGGTGTAGACGTCCTTTTATGTTCCTTCCTCAGAGTTGGTGGTGTGACACACCCTCCCTCCTGGCCAAGATGATACCATCGTCGATGGACAGCTCGCCCTGGTGTTAAAGCATGGCAGGGCCTCGGCGGGCAGTCGGCCTTGTCGTCCGGCCAGCCGCACTTGATGATGTCGCCGAGAAGTTCGCACTCGTCCTCATCCTCCTGCGATGCTCAGCGACTTTTTCGAAGCTGCAGCTGGGAGACAGAAATGAAGTCCACAGCGCAGAAGTTGTAAGCGCTGTTCTGGTGTCTCGCCTCTGGCTCCATGGTAAACACGGTACATCCAAGCCACTTCTGTATTTCACACTCGTCACAGGTACCTCCACACAGTCCGTCCCGCCGGTGCATCCGTCCCGCGCCGCGGCTCTCTGAGTCTTTCTCCTTGTTACTCTGTCCTCTCCTGGCCCCCGCAGCCGCATCCCTCGCAGGGGCGCCTGGGGCAGGAGGAGAGGAATGCGAAGGCCTCTAAGCGGCGCTCGCCAAACTACGCAAACATTCTCCGACTGGCACATAGGTGTTCTCTGACACCTTACACAAGGTCTCCGTTTCTCCTTCAGTGCGTGTTCGGAAGGCGGTTGTTAATGTTTGCTGGTGTTTTCGGGCGCACCGACCGCAGTGATCATTTGGCGCCCATAACGAGTTTTGTTTTACCGAACTAATGGGCCGTGTAAAGAGTCCCGAAGTTGAAATGTTTGAGGAATGAAAAGACCTGTTGAGATTCAAAAAAAGCGCGAGTTGTCCCCTAAAATGTCACAGGGCGTCAGGGGAGAGTCACACTGCCCAAAGTAACGTTGACTTTCTTCCACGAGGCGCGGACACGATGTGAGCACATGGCGAACGGTGAGAACAGCACCACATCGCTGGCAGATAGGTTGATCGGCTCCTGGCAACAGATAGCCGTGAGTTGAATGGTTGTGCCCATACGCAGTCTGCAGAGCACCACCTCTTCTTGCCGAACTTTGCGATAACAGGTACAGGATACCAGGATAACAGGATAACCACTGACCCAGTTTGGGTTTTATTGCTCTGAGCTTATTTTCATTCGTCCCATCCCAATAACGCTGCCACTCGTTCCGCAGAAAGGTTTTAAGTGCAGGAAAAAATATCTAGCAGGAATAGACAGAGATCGCACACATGGAGCCAGCGCTGCTCGCTTTGCAGCCGTGCCAGCCACCTCGTCGCCGGCGATTCCAATGAGACTGGGGATCCAACACAAGATGGCTTTCTTTCGGGCCTGATCCAGTTGGGTCGGACGTCCTAAAATATCCTGTACAAGGGGACATGATGGATAAAAAGACCTCAGACTCACAAACGCACAACCCACACCGCCAGAAGTTTTAGATCCATCCGTGTAAGTGTGTAGCCGTCATATGACGCCATACACTCAAGTGCCCTCGATCTCATTACATCTGGCAAGACGACATTCTTTTTCTCTTCGCCCAAAGACATATCTATTAATGGCGAGTTCAAACGCCAGGGAGGAGGGACAGATGATCTACCCGCTTCAACCTTAGAATGGAAATTTCGCTTCCCCGCAGCAAGACTTGTATTCGCTGGTCAAAGATCACAGCCTGTACCCGAGGCGTGCTGCAAAGATAACGCACAGCAGGCCGGGAAAAACCGCGTTATATGCCGGATGGGAGGGGAACTGTCGCAGCTAAGTGCATAACGCATACCGAGCATTTTTCTTCCCGCTGACAATGGCGGCTCGTGTGATTCCACATGAGGTTCGCGGCAGATGATGTGCGGAACGCCCATGTGATAACACGTAAACCAGTGTGAGGGACAGTGTCCAGGACGCGTTTGGTGGACTCACACGCGCTTTCATAAATAAAACAGGCATAGTCCAGCCTAGAACGTATGATTGTTCGACACAAAAGCAAAAGCGTGCTTCTATCTCCCCCATACGATGTGCGCGAAACGCATTTTAGTGTGTTCAAAGATTGAAAACGGCCTTCGCGTTGCGTTTTAAGATGTTATACGTTAGTCGCCGGTCAGAGTATACCCCAAGATATCTAGCCACAGGATCCGTTGAGATGCGTTGACCACACAGACGGATAAGCATATTACCGCATTGCCGACTACGACAAAAATGCATGGCTACAGTCTTGCTACAGTCTGTTAGAAAACCTGAACCCGTTTATGGCGCTCCACTTTCGGTTCTGTCCACAGCTAACTGGAGATGCCGCCCCATCGATGAAGCTCTTGCTGAACTAGTCCAAATGTTAAGACCATCAACAAAAAGGGCAACACCATCTTGGGGCATACCATCAACTTGAGGGCGCCTCCCAGAAAGTGCGTTCCCAACACGGACACGGAAATACCGGTCATCTAAAAAGTTTTGAAGAAAAGTGTCCTGATCACCGCGTACACCGTACCTATATAGCTTGACAAGAATGTCATAACGCCTCGTGGTAGCAGAGGGGCATCTATGTCAAGAAGGCAGCGTCTGATGTGTTGGTTGGCTTCAAATCAAATTTGTCCGTTCCGGTGGCTCAGTTGGTTAGAGCGCCTGCCTTCCGATCATCTCACCCGTGGCAGGGTGGGTTCGAGTCGTTTTAGGGCGCTCGCTATTTGGCCTTGACAGGTATGGCTTGCGGCCGGTGGCAGCGGTCGCGCTAAAGGTCAGTTGATGTCAGAGGGCAGGACGAACCGTGCCGAGCACTGCAGCACGTTAAGCTGTCGCCACTAAATTCTGCCGTTGACTGCAATTGCGCGATCGGGTGGTGGGGGTCAGGGCTCACACAACAAGCACTGCTTAGCGTGAGCACTGATCCCAGAAATCCATCCATTCAAGAGGTTCGGGTCAAATTTATAAAAAATCCCACGCGAATTGCGGTGTCAATAACTAAAAGATGATCTACTGTGGTGCGATTCTTTCTAAGACCTCACTGTGCGCTTGTAAAAATGTCATGATGCTCCAAAAATCAGGTTATTGTTTTAAAAGATGCGCAACAGTAGTTTCTCGCCAAGAAGCTCGAAATTCACCTCTGGTCCAAATCTAACTAAAGACCAGTGATAGACCACTAAGCACGCGAGGCGGCAGATGCTTAAGCATATCGTTGTGCACAGTGGCCGGGGCTTCTGGCACACTTCGAAGATTGTAGTACGTAGCGCACCTCATATATAATACCAATTGGCGAGAGCCAAAAAGCACTCCGACATCCAAATACATTACCGAGATAACATGCCAAGCACATACTCATTTATTGGCGCAGCGCATCTCACACACGAGTCCGGATAA